CTCCGGAAGTTATATATATATATATATACTGCTGTTAACTTAAAACCACAGAAACTCCGGAAGTTATATATTTATATATATATATACTGCTGTTAACTTAAAACCACAGAAACTCCGGAAGTTATATATATATATACTGCTGTTAACTTAAAACCACAGAAACCCCGGAAGTTATATATACATGTATATACTGCTGTTAACTTAAAACCACAGAAACCCCGGAAGTTATATATACATGTATATACTGCTGTTAACACTTACATATTGCAACGTATTATTATTCGTCTCATGCATTCAGTGCTGTTTACCTCATCGAATAAGTAAACCAAAAGTTATCAATAAATCTGATACATAGATGTTTTATTAACATGTTCCAGGAAATAAATCATTCAAGGGACAATTTAATCGACTTTCAATGGTTTAAAAAACAAAAAGAATTAACGACAGTTTTCTGAATTACCTAAATCATTCAAGGGACAATTTAATCGACTTTCAATGGTTTAAAAAAACAAAAAGAATTAACGACAGTTTTCTGAATTACCTAAATCATTCAAGGGACAATTTAATCGACATGCAATGGTTTAAAAAACAAAAAGAATTAACGACAGTTTTCTGAATTACCTTGCGAATATTAGGTTACATTGTTTATTTCACTTTCAACATGTTAACTGATTCATTGAACTTTCACATACTTAATATGGACTATCTAACTAACTGTTTATACGCTAGTTTCTCTTTGATACAAGACCCTGTTGCAAACTACTTGTTCTTACTATTTCCATGGTAACCTAATGAATATCTCAAAATACTTCATTCGTCTTTAACAATTAAACCCCCTCTACCCTACCCCCTTGCTATGGTGGTTACTAACTGCACTGGTATTGATTTAAGCCTAGTATGTGCACTCTAATGTAGTGTAAAATTAGACAAAGCCACCATTTGAAAGGCAAGTGCTTCACTGCATAATATGTAAGAACCGCTGGACAGTCGACATAGTAGTTACGAACAGGCCTAAAGGAATAAATACGATAGGTGTCGCTCCTAGTCAATTTTCATGAAATAATTAAAAACATAGAAATGTTTAAATCTGTTTGAAAAATGAAAAACTATATTTATATGAATCTCTGATGTTACTCAAGAACTTTCTTCCTTTCATACTTACATTAACCTCTTTCTACCGTTAATACCTCGTGTTTAATGGTAAAGAACTTTCCTTTCATACTTACTTCAACCTCTTTCTACCGTTAATACCTCGTGTTTAATGGTAAAGAACTTTCCTTTCATACTTACTTTAACCTCTTTCTACCGTTAATACCTCGTGTTTGATGGTAAAGAACTTTCCTTTCATACTTACTTTAACCTCTTTCTACCGTTAATACCTTCTGTTCAATGGTAAAGAACTTTCCTTTCATACTTACTTTAACCTATTTCTACCGTTAGTACCTCGTGTTTAATGGTAAAGAACTTTCCTTTCATACTTACTTTAACCTCTTTATACCGTTAATACCTCGTGTTAAGGGTAAAGAACTTTCCTTTCATACTTACATTAACCTCTTTCTACCGTGAATACCTCGTGTTTAATGGTAAAGAACTTTCCTTACATACTTACTTTAACCTCTTTGTACCGTTAATACCTTGTGTTTAATGGTAAAGAACTTTCCTTTCATACTTACTTTAACCTCTTTCTACCGTGAATACCTCGTGTTTAATGGTAAA